TCAGAATGATTAAATGTCCTGTTTTAAAGCTAGAATAGGCTTGGTCTTGCTGCTGGTTTCCAGTCTTGAGAATATGTTGCCTTATTAGAAGTCACTCTTGCAGTTCATTTAGAAGTTTCATTTCTTTAACAGAGGGAACATCCGACATGCTTGCCATCTCACTCCAGCAGATATTCAGGGAGACAGTGTTCCTGAAGAAGAAAAGCCTCAAGGGCAAGATGGTGAGGATCAGAACCTGCCATAGGGAAATACGAAGCTAACGTTCTCCCAGCATCCAAGCAAGATATCCGAGCAGGATGTCTTCCTTTTTGCAGTCTTTATCAAATATATGAGTAGGTTGTTGTCTGGCAAGGACAGGGGGAGAAGTCTGCATAAAAATAAGGGAGTTATATTTCATGTCTTTAGGAGGAGGCAGTGTCTCTTCCTACCTGCTATACCAGGAGGCTGTACCAGATCTCTCTTCCAGCAATCTGTTTTCTGATCACCGTTTCTTTTTCCTCATACATATTTTTTTTTATTGAACCGTTTCCTTTCTTGTCACATTTTTTTCGTAAACTGTCCATAGCAGGGTGTCTAGAATATAAACAGTGACAGGCAGATCATTTGGAAGCATGGAATAGACCTGATGGTTGTGCCTGACTAGGCTGAGGTGGAAAGATAGTAGCAGGTAACAAGGGACAAGAAAACTAATACGAGTGTTAGAAGTAGTGCAATAACAGTGGTAATTTATTAATGTCTTTATTGGATTTTAAGGCTGAAAAAGTAAGTTCCAGGCTAAGATACAGTACTTTTTTCATCAATTTATAAAATGCCGTAATCCAAGCATTTTCTTCATTCTGAAATAGTAGAATGGAAAACATGCTGAACTGGGATCATTTCCATGGAGTTGGAGGGTCTGCAGATGCCTCAGAGCCACTAATGAATTAATCTAAGACACATGGATTTATGCCAAGGCAGAGGCATCTTATATCATGTAAGTTACAGAAGGGGGTATGGGAAGCAAAGAACAGACTTCTCAGAAAACACTTTTGGTGCACGACTTGAGGTATTTAGAGCTTAATATTTGGAGATACTGAGTACCAGTGACTGAACTCTGTGCTGCAGAGTTTTGTATGAGAATATTCGGGGCATTTTGGTTAGCTAAAGCCAAATGATACATTCAGACATGCTGGTCTCCATGTTTTCCCCAAGCTCTTGTAGTGAGTCACTGAGAATGAAGAGTGTTTCTCAGCAGTCACAGTTCCCAGCTCAAATGCCAGACCACACCATTTTTGAGTCAAATAGGCATTTCTTAATCTCTCTGCTAATGGCCATAGCTCTGAAGCAAGTAATTCAATAATAAAGATGGAAATGGCAGCCAGAAAATGCTGACTGTCTCCACATGCTTTAACAATACGCCCCATAGAGTAGGATTAACCTTTTCCTATCTAGTCTGTATTTGACAGTAAAGCTGTAGTTTTAGAAATGGGTATTTTTCATTACTGTATTCAGAAGCTGCATTCTTGGATTTTTGCTCTAAATATCCACGTTATCTTTTTAGGTTTTTGTATATTTGGTTTTCCTTTTGCTTCCCAGGTAGAAGTTAGGAGATAAATGCAAGAAGATTCTCTTCTAGTGGGTGGAAGATCAAACATGTCTCTTCCAAGAGGCTGAGCGTATGTATCTCTATATATGTGTGTGTGTATATGTATTACTTGATGGAATGCAGAATATCTATTTCCTGATCAAACTACCTTTCTTCTCCTGATATTTTTTAGGTACTGTAACAATACTACACAATATATGTGTGTTCTGTTGCTGCTGCATGTGTATTTTATGTATTTTTATATTAATTTTGTTGGTTTGTTTTCTGCACATGAACTTCAGCACCTCAACATCACCACAGGTTTCCCATCTGATATTTTTCTCTATACCTGGGGACATTTCCTAGCTAGGTTGTCTGTTCTTCTCAAACTGTTCTGAAATGCCTTTCATGTAGGTTCAATCCGTTGGAGGACATGCCTTCTTGGGAAGAGTGGTCTGCACTTGCTACTTCCTGACCTGTTCTAGATTTGGTAACAGAGTGCCCTGTGCATATACATCAGTCACTCTTCTTGTTCTAAGAAGTCTTGGCTTGGCAGTTATTGTTCAACTGGGAAGCTGACATCCCCTCTCCCTGGGGCCAAAGAGGAATGAGTCTGATTATAGTAGAGCTGTTGGGGGCTCTGACTTTTCCATAGCTATGAACTGCTCAGGAAGAGTAGTTGCTAGAAGAAGGCTGCATAGTATTTAGGGCAAGGATGGTGGTTCTGCCTTCATTAACAAAGTTGTTTTAATTTGTTATTTATTTATTATTATAGTTATTTATTTATTTATTATGGGGAACAAAGATCAAACCATCTAATGGTGCAATCTGCGTAGGATTTTTCACTGCCTGACCTTCTTCCACTGCTAAAGCTGTTCCAAAGTGTTCCACTAGCACTGGGTGGCCTCTCTGCTGAGTTGGCTGTGTAAATTAATTAATATCTGTTCCCTACAGCTTTAACTCTTCTCATATCTCTCTGTTATTTCCGTGTAGACTGGGGCAGGCAGTTTAATAGCAAAGGAACAGCTTTCTTCAAGCAAAGCCTCTTTCCAGGATGCTTGGGATGTCATATGCCAAGCTTACAGTCCCGGGGCTGTATGACTGTTACAGCCCATGGAGAGTAGGCAGGGAGCATTGTCACCCCTTCCACTGATGACTCAGTAGAACTAAGCTAAATTTCCCCCCTTCACCCCTTGTTTACCAAATAGCTATTTAAGTAAAACTCTCTGCATTCACATTGACAGGCTCTTTAGGTTTTCCATCACCAGGCTACCTAGTTAACTATCTGTGTACATTTGAGGCTTAAGATCAGTCAACAGTCATCAGGTGGTGATTGTGTCAGTTGCTTACAAAGCAGCAGCACAAGAGGGGTCCATGTCAGAGGGAGCTGCCAAGCAGAAGAAAAAAAATCTTGAAGCCTTTCAGATGGTTGCTGCCCAGAAAAGAGCACTGCAGGTCACCAGTGATGACAACTAGCAGGAGGCGCAGGGAACATCGTGAGCTGGAAGAGGCTGGAAGGAGCCAACTGAGCATGAGGCTGAGTTATGCTTTGGGCACTAAAATGTTTTGCTGCAGCTTTGTGTATTGTCCTTTGTGTTATCTCTCTTTATGATCTGGTATCTGCTCCTGTTGGTCCATTTTTCTATGCTTGAAGTATGCTGCAAGTACTAAATAGCAAGTTCTGTGTACTGTGGTGATTACACAAATATTCGTACAGAGAGATCTGTGGCTTATACTTGATAATATCACATCATTAACTGTAATAATGTTGTGGAGTGTCTGCCAGCATGCAGTCTAAAATCTCACGCTAAATAATCCTGATACATGAAAAATCTTGGATAACAGATCTCCAAGTACTTATTTGGCAATGATACACAAGCAAGACAGCCACAGGATGAATCACTGCCTTAGAGTTTGGGCTAGATGGCCTAATGGCTTCTTTTGGAGAGAAGGCAGTTCTTCCAGAGAGCAATCTTGTCTGGAGAAGACGGCTAATTTACACTTGCTTATTGCAACAGACCACCCAGTCCCGTCTTTGTGGTGCTTGTCCAGCAGTCAGAATGCTGCTGTAGCGATGCTGCCACTGTAGACACTTGCAGTCCCCGAGGCAGGACTGATTGGTGGTGGCCCTGTGCCTCCAGCTGTGGTTCACAGCGGGTCTGTAACCGGACAATACCGGTGTTCCTGGAGGAGGTGCTGCTGTAACCCGGGGCGGGGGGGTGAGGAGGTGGCAGCTTGACACAGGTCACAGCGTGAGGTGGAAGTTCCCTCTGGTGGAGGAACAGACCCACTGCAGAGAAGAGCAATGCGGCACCTAGCCCTCCCTAGAAGATAATTTTTAGAGGTGCTGAACTTTAACCGCATACCTACAGCTTTATCTGAAGACTATGGGTGCTGCTGGTTTTCTGGGGACCAGGTCCAGAGAGCCTACATAAAAAAAGACAGTCCCGTTATGGAGGACTTTGAGCTGAGCAGAAGAAAGGTGTTGGGTAAGGGCTGGATATTGTGTGATCATCATCCCCCTGTGGAAATGGATGGGAATGTGAGGATGTCTGTGGCCACCTGGGTCTGGAGAGGTCTGTGATCAGCTCCTAGCTCTGCCACCTCTGGTTTGAAATGTTCAGTCTCTCCCTAGAAGAGTTCCTCACAGGTTACTCACAATACTTTAGTGAATTTCAGAATCTTTCGGCTATGCTGTCTCAGAATGACGGAGAAAATTTGCTGCAGATGCACAATCCTAGAGAAGAACAATGTGTCGGGCATGGAGGCAAGGATCCTGCAGTGCAGCCAGGGTGGCTGGAGCCCTGGCCCCAACGCCTGAAACCAGGCCAACTGCTCCACGAAGCAGCCTCTGAGTAAAGCTTGGGGCTGGTCTCATGGTGGCAAGCTTGAGAGAGATCTGAGGGTTGCCACCAGACTAAAACACCTCATGAATTCCTATGGGCACATGTGCTTCTGGTAGAGGAAAAAAAAAAAAACCAAAGCAGTGGAAGATGGATTTCTGGCCATATAATCACATTTGGCATGTGCCAATGTAGTGAAAGGCAAGAAGAACCCAAAAGAAACTTAGAGAACAACCTGCAGGTCAAGTCAATATCTGTTGTTTTGCGCGGGGGCAAATGTTCCTCATGGAAATTGGACTTGATAGCTGTGAGACCCCCCCCCCCAAGGAAAACTAATGTGGAGGAGAGGTTGGTGGCCGTCATCACTGACGGTGATGGGGATCCACCAGGATCGTGCAGCTCACACTGTGCCTGCAGACCTTGGGGCGGGGGGGAGGAATATGTCTCTTGCTATACATCCAAGAAGCCCGTCAGCACCATGCCTCCGCTTTGCCCTTACTTTGATAGGAAGACCGGCCAGGGTTTTACTTCACGTTCTGCTCGGGCTGCGGCGATCCAGAAGCTCACGCGTGTCTTCCCCGTGCCGCAGCGCGGGGAAAGGACCGGCTGGTTCCACCTCCGCCACCGAAACCCCGCCGTACACCCGGGTGGGAGATTCCCGGGGCGGGGGGGGATTCCGGCGGGGTCTCCTCCTCCTCCCGCAGCGCCCAGCACGGCGGGGGGCGGCCGCGGGGCCCTGCCCAATCTCGGCGGCCGGGCCCGGCTGCGCGTTGGCTGCCGGCGGCGCCGCTCAGTGAGGCTGCGCTGAGGCTGCGGGGCCGGATGGCCGAGCCGCCCGCCCCGCTCACTCGGGCGGCGGCCGGCGGCGGGCGAGGAGCCGGGGCGAGCCCTCCCTTGCCGGGAGAGCCAGCCCTGCGGCACGCAGCGCCATGGTCTCATGGATCATCTCCAGGCTAGTGGTGTGAGTAAGCTGCCGGCCTCGGCACCTGCACGCGTGTTTCTGCGTGTCCGGAGGGGGGGGGGGGGGGGGGGGGGGGGTCGCGCCGTGCCCGCTGCCTGCCCCGCTCGCCCCTGCCGCCGATACGCGGTGGCGGCGGCGGCGGCTCGGCTAAATTTAGCAGGTTGTTGTTAGGGATGGGGTGCTCGGCTGCTTGGCGGGTGAAGGAGAAAATAGGTGGCTCAAACGGTGTTTGCCAGCGTGGGAAAATTACCGGGGAGGGGGTGGAGGGCAAAATGCTGCCGTGCTGTACAGCGCAAGGTGGCAAGGGAGAAGGAGGGCGGTTGGCATCGCCCGATGCTCGGCGGTGGACGGGCTCGGGGGGTCAGGAGGGGGAACGGAGCATCAGCGGGTGGGAAAATGGACGTGGGTTTGGGCAGCGGGGCTTTGTTAGCGGGACTCGGCGCGGCCGGCTGGGGCTCGCGAGGGGGCGTGGGAGAGGCGGGCGCGGGGTCTCCCAGCCGCTACCGCTGCTTTCTTCTCTCCTTTTTTTTTTTTTTTTTTGGTAAAAGAAATAGCAGATATTTATTTTCTCTTTGTAACTTGCTGCCCACCCTCTCAAAAGACGTTATTGACTTCCCTTTAACCTGTCAGTCTGGGAGGAGAAGCGTGTGGGTCTTTGCACTTGTCCTACAGCTTTTCCACGGCTGGAAGTGCTGTAGGTGGGAAGACATGTAGAATTTCCCTGGCGATTCTTCCCAGGCAACAGGGGAAAATGGAGCAAGCTCGAGGTGTATGTTCATCTGCCCCACCTAATTCAGTGAGAAAAGGGCATTTTTGATGCCACTAGGAAAATTCCTGGAGAAGGGGGAGTTTAGGCTTAAGGTGGGGCAGCAGGATGGCTGATCTATCTCCCTTCTGAAAATATGGCTGGTCAAGGTTAGTACATTGAATCGGATTAATCATTTGCCAGTTTTCTGTCCGATACGTACAGCTTCAGACTCAGGAGAACATCTGTTGTGCTCTTAAGTTATTGTAGAAGGTCTGCAAGGGCCTGTCACTTCCTTTGTCTGAAAGAAATGTGCCATGATGTTGCACCATCAGCATCATTCCAGAAAGGCATTTTTGAGGTCTCCTCTTTGCCATGTGAGATGAAACATCAAAAGGAAAACTCACCTTGATCTTAGCTATCTCTCTGTATCACTAAGACCTTGGGTGGCTGTGAGATACGAAGATTTTTGAGGGTTCCAGATTTGAATTTAGCCCCTGGAGGTATATGATCTGGATTCAGCTGCAGCTCTTGCTAGCCACTATTGGGTTTGCACTTCATCCTGTGAAAGTGTGTTAAATATTTAAATGATTTAATTTGAACAATATAACCAGGTATCTCTGCAGATATCTCTGACAGCGATGCGAGATGTAGCATTTATTGTCCAAGGCTGTTTTTCTTTCTTCTCTACTGGGCTAATTTCCACTTTTAAAAAGCCTGTCATCATGTAACCCAGCTAATCCTCAAGAACAAAGAATGTCTAAGAGAGATGATAGTTTAACTTACTTGCCTCGGCACATGCACATATACATGGGTGATTTCATCTAAGACACATGGACCGGGTAAAATCTGATAGGGGCAGGACATGGAGCAGTTGACATCTGCAGTCAGGTAATTAGTTGAACATTCCCATTCTCTTCAGCTTTATTTATCCAAATAGCATGTTACAGTATGAAATCAGCTGTGTAGAGGGTGGTACCAGTTATTTGTTGCACTAACATTTCAATAGCAAATAACAATCTGAATATGCGATGTAAATACTAGTCATTTAGTACTCATAGTAACAATTAAAAAATAATTTTGCAAGGAAAACTAACGCAAGCCAAGTTTGGTCACCACTTTCTTTGCATTGCTACTTAGTATACATCCATCCTTTAAGAATGTTTTGCACCAGGAAGTGCTGGTTTGTTATGATCCCAGCAAGAAACTTGGACTGTAGAGTATTGCTTAAAATACCACTCACTAGAGCTAACATTATTAAGAAGAGGAGAGTATAAATAACCTTACATCCCTTCAGATGCTGGAAACCTTGAGCTGCCTAACATGGAACAGGCCTCCAGTCTGGGTGTAGCACGCCATGCAGATCTGTCTGTGGAAAGGTTAGCTTACATTTTGGTCTTCTGAGCCCTTACAGTATTTTTCCGGCCCGCCCCCCCCCCCCCCCCCCCAAAAAAAAAAAAAAAAAAAGGCAATTATATTAATAATTTGTGCTGTCAAATGAAAAGGATGTTCAGAAGATAACTTGTTGCTTCACTTTTAGATGAAAACAAGTAAGGACAAGCAGGTGGTTAAATTGCTGGTGACCACTGTGAGCTTCCTGCAGGGTCCTTCATTACAATTAACCAGCTGAGCTGATCCTGCATCCAAGGAGTACGTGCAGCACAGTGAGGGCCAGGAGGCCAAGCTATACATACAGTGCAGCACAGGCCTGCACCCACTCAGGTTAACTGTTAGGTAGATCACTGACTCCTCTGTGTGCCATGGTCTTCAGAGTAGCATCATGACAGAGATTTAATCTATCTAATCTGGTTTCCCCATCTCATTGTGAGTTGCTAGTTGATCCATCGGTACAGGTAGCTGTTCTCTAAGTAGAATGACTACCTGGTTGGGCTTTTTTTTTCCCCTCCTATGCTTATTTAGTTATTTTTTCATTAAATCTTACTATCTGATAAGGTTTATGAAGAAAGTGGTGTGCTGTAGTTTAGTCACACTGTGAATATTGCTTTGTGCTCTTAAGACTTCTGCTGATCTCTGTGGGTATTATGTCTGATATGACTCAGCTAACAGAAAGGGCTTTATAACAGAAAGCAAACCTTTGCTTTGGCTCTTGGGTGCTTTGTTGCTTCCATTATCCCTGATTTGGTTGTCACTGTCTCTGTCTTGACAATTTCTGTTTCCAAAATGTTGCTGAAGAAGAGTGTGAGCACTTCTCACCCACTTCAGTGCAAAGTCTGGCAACTTACTGCAAGCCATCTTCTACATAGTTTCAACTTCAGTGTTTGGACTTTGTGTTAATGCTTGTCCGGAGTGCTGGTTTGCTCTGTTCTGCCTACAGAGTTGTGTGCTGATAACCTCCAGAAGAGAAATGATAGAAACTTCAGTGCAGCATCTTCTACTGCCACAGCTGTTTGTTGAAGTCAAAGACTTTACTATTGTCAGGATCTGCACTCGGTACTGTACAAATGTGAAACAGAAAGATAATCCTGTCCCTGGATATCTTTGTCCTTTAAGAGCTCAATTCTTATCCACCTGAAGTCCAGATACTTTTTTTACTTACCTCAAGAACAAAATCAGGATGTTCTTTTTCTCATGGTATTAGATTACAGGTGACTTTTCCACCAAGGAGTGTCTGGGATCACTGTAATTGAAGTTGTTGCATCTTGGAGTTATTTGTTGCTTTGTCTCTCACAGTAACAGGAATCGGGATAGCATCATTAGTTGTAGATTAATTACAACCCCTTTTTTATTCATCATCTGTGAAGACATCTGAAAGCATATGCTGGAACATCTGTATTTCAGTTTCCTCATCTGTGAAGTGTGATGAACTGTGCTGAATTTAATCTTCCCTGAGACAGAGCAGAAGGGATCAGTGCCATGTCCTACCATCTACAGTTTATTGCTATTCATTTCAGAGGAGATTCTTCTTTGCTTCAAGTGGTAGAGGCCACTCTATCAGAAGGACTTGGGATCTGTCTTCATTATTGCAGTCCAGTTCAGCTACAGTGCATAGCACTGGCAATCCTAGGTGGTTACTGGTCTGCTATACCTTTTGGCTGTTTAAAAGCATTTTGAAGTTACAAGTGGAATATATAAATGCAGCCTATTGTATTTTCATGGAAATCCTATTCTTTTCCTAGAAACATGAAACCTGCTTTTTGTGCTTGGGATCATGCAGAACAGAAATACAGGTTTTGGCTCCTATTCTGAAAGTTAGTCACATCACACTGCCTGTTGAAAGCCTTTCAATCTGAAATGTGTGGCAGAGGAAGGAGTTGTCAGTAGAAATGAGGCTGGATCAGACAGGTCATCAATAGTTGGGATGATACTGTGTGACTTAGGCATTTGAATTCCTGCTGTGAGGAGCTTAGAAATGCATTACGAATTATGATAAAATGGCTAAATATGTTCTTCTTGGTGAAAAAACACAGGCTTAATTATAATTTTTTTCCTGTATTTGTTTTCTTTTAAATCAAAATATCAGTAATGGCCTGTCTGATCTCTTATGGTTTGATACGAAATAGAGTGGCAGCCTCAGATATGTTAACAGGGAATTCCTGGCCCTGTGTGGACGTAACAGGGATTTGGGTTTTTATCAGAAGCATCCTTTATTCTGTCTGTCACTGGAAGTAAGTAGGTCTAAATGTAACCAAGGAATTCTTTAAACTGATGAGTGAAATTTCCTTCCTTGTTACAATTTCTCTGCTTTCTCTTTTGGTTACTGTGATGCCTTTTTAGCAAGGGTAGGTGAGATTGGCCACCCCCATCCTCAGCTGGTATAAATCCATAGTGCTACTGAGTCAGACATTCATTTAATCAAAAGACACTGCTTACATCAGTAATGAATTTTTATTTTAGAGAAATATAGCAGATCCTTCCTCCTCCTGTTTTTCATGCGTATGGAAAGCCTGAAGAGATTTCTGAATTGAAAAAGGATAGAAGTCATGTGATAGAGATTATATGGCCATAGACAAGGGTAACTTGTATCCTCTTTACCAGAGGCAAGCAGAGACAGGGTCTGCTCAAGTGGGCAAGAGCTGTTCCCATGAAGGCATAACACAGCCCTGTGCTTTTGGTTATTGGTAAGTCAGCATTATCCTCTTAGTTGATACATACCACATATGTGAAGGCCCTTCTTCACAGTCTACATTATTTACTTGGCACTGGCAGATGCCATGAAGGATTCTGCTATTTATTGCTCTGTATAGGCCTCAACACCTGTGATGCAAAATTGTGTTAAAATACATCAATGGACCTA